AGATGCTGTCGCCTCCTTTCAACTAAAAAGGCTAACTGAAAGTGGAGGTATCTGCCCTAATTGCAGTGGAGTGAAGGAAAGTACAAGTAGCTGAGATGAATTCTCTCAACCTATCAAACATTAAAATGTAAAAACCCAAAGTGCCCTAGGTATTTGAAAACTGTCAGATGCAATCAAACACAACATATGTGTGAAGTTTGTCTTGATTTTACCATACTCATTGCACTAGGATAATAACTTCCAAATCTACTGTTTGACCTGTAGTGCCAGACCTGTGGAATTAATGCACTAATTGTTCACTTTCTGTTTAATACCATTTTATAAAGAGAAATAATTCTAAATATTTGCACGGAATCTGCTATTTACGAACAGAAAATTGATCAAATCATTCTGGTCCTTCAAGCAACACCAACACAAATTAAAATGATGCAAGTAACACTAAGTCCATGGTGTCAACTTGTAATGAGTTATTACTTGTAGTGAACACCTTCCATTCATTTACAGTGTGACGACTTCAAACGGGGCTACGTAAGAACTTTCAGCCAATCAGAGACCACTCCCTTATCAAATAATTGGGCGTGCAGACCTTATTGGAAACTGTCCTATTGTTATAATTCAAAATATTACTTACACTGTACTTATGTCATACATATACATATAACTGTTGACTTTGCAACAGTTAAATATTTTATTTTGAAAAGTTTTTATAAAACATGGCGAGAAATAAGGGTATTTTAACTTTAAATGAGGTTTATTTTGTTTTCTCTGTGATACCTTTTTTTGCAATCTTTTATAGGAAAAGAGAGATGAGGAAATCACCAAACTCATCAGGTGTGGCACAGCCAACAGTAGGAACAAGAAGGATATTACCAAAAAAAGGTCTTTCTCCGAAAGATGTCATCCCACCTGCGGAATCTGATGACGAGGACAATCAGAGGGATTTGAATTTTAGAAGACGCCTATTTTTAAAGACGGCTAGGAAAGTGGCAAGTAAGAAGAGAGCAAACGGGCGGGCCTGTGCATTCTCTGTGTGGAAATGAAAACATTCCTAAGTGAGGGAAGCGTATTGCGTTATAAAACAAGAGAAATTATTACCTCCCATCTTACCTGGATCATTACTTAAAAACAATATACGTATACTATTATGAAAACACTAGCAAAAAACTTCCAGGTTGTACCTTCACTCAGGAAGAATCACTGTTGCAAGGTTGTTCAATAAGCCATTTGCAGCAAAAATATGGTAATTTGGTGTTTATTATACAGCTGCTTGTAGATAGACACACGCTTGTCAAATAATTTCAAGTGCTTTAATAATAGGTTGCAAACCCCTTCATGTAGTATCATTGCCCTCTTCAATCTATATTAAGCTATGATCCTTGATTTAAAGTCTTTGGAACAGAGATGCAATATGGGTTTTCTTTTTATTTATTCATGGGTGCCCTCATTAGTAAAGGGTTATTCTTTTGAGAAATGCCTCAAGTGCACTTCTCTCGCTCCCCACAACGTCAAAGGTTTATTGATCGAACAATACAAGAAACGAGAAAAAAAAGAAGACAACAACAGCATTCGTCGAAATGAAGCATTGCTTTCTGACAAAAGCAATTTTGCATCTTCCAGAGGGAGAAACTCTCGACGTGGTGGTCGAAAGTTTGGAAATACAGAAAGTTTCAGGCAGCGTGACCGTCAAGGACCAAATCAAGGTTTGAAATGCTATAAATGTCCACAAATCGGTCATTTTGTTAAGAACTGCCCACTCAATCGAAGACAAGGTCACTCGAGCATTGCAGAACATGATTGCAAGCAGCAACATGACAGTATAGCCTTGAATTCCAGCACGACTTGTCGGAATAGAGATATTCGTTGGTACATTGACAGTGGTGCTACAAAGCATATGACCTTTGAGAAAGATTTAATTGTTGATTTTGACGAGTATGAGCAGCCATCAAAGATCTACCTTGGTGACAACAGAGCAATAGAAGCTTTTGGAGAAGGAAAGGTGAACCTTTCGTGCTATGATGAATCAAACGCAGTTGCATTAACTTTAAACAAAGTACTGTATGTGCCCAATTTATCAAAGAACTTGTCCGTTCCTGCTATGACGCAAATGGGAGCAGGAGTTTTATTTGATGAAGGAAAGTGTATCATATCCAAGAATGAAAGAAAATTCACCATTGGACATTTGGTGGACAGTAAACTCTACATAGTAAACACAGATGGAGAGGCTCACATCGCCAGTACAACATCACAATCGGTGGCGAAATGGCATTGTCGATTTGGTCATTTGAATTACTCCTATATTGATCGCTTGATAAAAGGCAAGCTTGCTGAAGGCATGAGCTGTTCAACTGGCGAAGTGAACAGAGAGTGTGATGCACGCGCACAAGGGAAATGAACAGAATCCCTTTTACCAAGAAAAGTGTAAAGGAAATACATCAGCCCCTGCAACTTGTACACAGTGACCTCTGTGGCCCAGTGAATGTTGATTCTGTTGGTGGAAGCAAGTATGTCCTTACTTTTACTGATGATTACACCAGATATGTCACAGCATATTTCATCAAGAGCAAGTCTGAAGTGTTATCAACGTTTGTGGAATATGTGACGATGGAAAATGAAACTGCTTTGCGAGTACGAGTCATTAGAACTGACAATGGTGGAGTATACATCCCAGTACTTTAAAACGTTTTGTTCTGACAAGGGGATTGCACATCAGCCCACCAACCCGTACACACCAGAGCAGAATGGCGTTTCAGAGAGACTGATTAGTCCAGCTGTTATCGACCAAAAAAAGTTTGAATTGTTCAAATTGGTGATACAAGCATGAAACTTTCACAGATTGTTAAGGGCCCTAAGGGAAATATTTTTGATGTGGGGCCAAGCCAAATTAAGCTCTGAAGTCCAGATCCGCGCATGCCCCGATTTTGCTAC